ACAAATTCTCACAGGCCCTATTGGCCACAAGCAAAGGTGGTGCTTGCCTTGAATGGCTCACTGTGTCTAACAAGCACCCAAAGCTCCCAAATGCATTTGGAATCTTCCTGATCACTCATTAGAAGTGCCAGGTCTTTTATGTCAGAGTATGAACGGGCATCCCAGCATTTGCACACGCAAAATGCATCGTTAGGACTCAAGTGGAGGTCACCCCTCTGCCTCCAGACATGTTCTGGTAGAAGACTTAGCATCAATCTGTAGGAAAACCCCTCTTTGTCCAAATCCCTTCACTCTTTACTGATACACTTGTCCAATTATTCCCGTGGAAGCATTTGGCACTGAATGCGAGTCTACCTGAAATGAATGCTCTTGGTGCACTTCTGCTTCTAAGAAGGGCCACTGTTTTATCTGAGGTCAATAAATTGGAAAAAAAATGAAAGAGTTATTTATCCATTGTTTGATAGTGAAACACATACACCATGTCACAATATTAAATCAAAGCTATGTAAGTTGGCCTCTGCAACCAAGTGAGTATTCTGCACAAAATGACAGCATCATTTTCATATTACAATTAAAATGCACTGATATTTATTTGATATAAATATTATCTCCCAGTGTGGAGTAGGAAAATACTATACACTTACTTTTCTTTGCAAGTAATGTTTTTGCACCGTCGGTTGAATAATTTATACTCAATCTGCCACAATAAGCCTTTTCTATGTACAAATACTATTTGCACACACTATCTGTGTACACACACATTCTATTCTACAGCATCAGTCTTGGATGCTTGGGTCATGAGATGGCTTGGCCAGTATTATAAACATACACTTTGAACACAGAATGCCTCCATGCACACGGACTTCCTGCACGAATACCAATTCCACACAGGGCATTATCTTGTGGACTGATGCGCCAAAAATTGAGCCTACAACAAAATCCTCAATTTTGGGAAGAAACACTAAGTCATGATACAGTGAATAGCTTTATTCTTAGAAAAAGGAAAATCTTGTTCTTTAGTCTATGTACAATGATTTGAGGACAAAACTTTATTCTTGCTCTCTTCAAGATCTGAGATTCCTCCTAAACTGTAAGCAATCATGGAGCAGTTTGAAGTCATTTATAAAACAGCTGCTAGTTTAAACGGGGCATAATGTATAGAAATAGGTAGTCAATCAAGTAGGGATGTGAAAAAGATCTGCAGGCTTTTACTCATTTGAGAGGATTATGCTACTCTAGAGGATGCAGAGCAGCTTCCTGGGGCAGGACTTTGTGGTTTCTTAAAAGGCTTGTAATTTTCAAACCTTTGTTTGTTTCTTCTTTTTCTTCTTCTTTAGTGACAATTACAAAATGTTAAAGAGAAAGTGTGGGTTTAGGCTTCTTGACAACAGCATTAAACCTCACATTTTGCACACTTAACTTTAACCAGTCCTCCCATGCAAGTCCTGTAGCTGGTCCCCAAGCTCCTTTTTAAGGAGAAGTGGCAGCTGACATACTAGTCACTAGCCTTTTTTTTTTTTTTTTTACTTCCTTGGAAAAGCAATACAAGGATTACATCCAAAATTATAGTGCATCTTAAAAGCAGCATACCTTTAGAAAGACAGTTAATAAATTACTTGTACAACATACAAAATAACATTTTCTACTGCAGCATCACCTCTGACGCCTGAGTCACTGTTCGGGAACTTGGAAGAAAAGTAGCAGGATTGCCTAGTAACTTTGCCGGCTTTTAAATTTTTTAAAAAACTGTTTTGTAACTGTTTTGTTCCAGAATCAGTATGTAATGACATTTGATTTTATTCAAGGCACCCCCAGATAACACAAAAAAATCCGAACCCAAACACATATAGCAAAGTACTCACCTGCCCAAAGCCTGACCAACCTGAATGAAGGGAGGTTGTTTGGAGACACAAGTAGGACAAAGGCAGATCCAAGGAGAGGACCAGATTTAGGTGGGATGTTAACTAGTCTCAGGGTCACCTTCACTGGCCCTGCTCCAACAATCCATTCCTACCCCAGCCATTTGGAGACCCAAGCAGGTTGTCACAGGGATCCTCCTAAATAGCCCACGATTGGAAGTTTCTTTAGTTTTAAAAGGAAGGGCCCTTAAAAACATAAGTAAATGTCCCCGTTCTGTGCAAACACTATTCCTTGCTGTTCACTTGCTTCCTACCCCAGCCATTTGGAGACCCAAGCAGGTTGTCACAGGGATCCTCCTAAATAGCCCATGATTGGAAGTTTCTTTAGTTTTAAAAGGAAGGGCCCTTAAAAACATAAGTAAATGTCCCCGTTCTGTGCAAACACTATTCCTTGCTGTTCACTTGCTTTTCCTTTTTATAAAAGGCATGGGGTGGACAAAGGATTCCCAGGGAAAGGAGACAGGTCGGGTTTTTAAATTCCACTTGAGGCAATTTGGATTCTGGTCCCCAGCAAGTCCTCTCTTTGAATCAACCTGGAAATAATGTTGACAAGCACATGGTTCAAAATAGTAGAAGACACAGAAATGTCACATGAACAACTGCACAAAGCTAGTCACTATTCATGGTGGATAATGAAAGAAGTAACTTGTTAAAAATCTCTAAGAAATTGAAAGACAGTTTTAGAGCAGTGTTTTTAACCAATTCCCATGATAGGGGCTGAGTCAACTGCACAAAGCTAGTCACTATTCATGGTGGATAATGAAAGAAGTAACTTGTTAAAAATCCCTAAGAAATTGAAAGACAGTTTTAGAGCAGTGTTTTTAACCAATTCCCATGATAGGGGCTGAGTGGGAGGAAGATGAGGGCTGAGCTGGGTGAAGAGAAATAAAGACAGCTTCCTCCCGGCTACTGAGCAACAGAAACTTGGGGAGATGGATGGAATGTGGTCAAGACTACCAGTTGCACATGAGTTGTTACCAGGGTAAACCATGCCAAGAAGCTGGTTCGGACCTGGTTATGATATGAGCAGAAAACATTCCTTTTTTAAAAGGAGAGAGAGGTCACTTAGAAAGGCAACGAGAGTTAGAAAACAAAATACTGTCTGCTGACTTCTCCCCCATAATACATGCCTGTGAAGTATTATGATTCACACTGAGTTTAAATTCTAGCTGTCACCAGTTTTCCACAAAGGCAAGCCTCATGGTGAAGCACAGAACTGTTCTACTAAGCCAAGAAATTCCAACAACCTTAACAAAAATGGTAGCTTCAACACAGAGTTTTATCAAAATCTGTCTCAGACAAGCACACACACACATACACACACACACGAGAAAAAACAGAAACCCAGAGGCAGGTTTTAAAAGTGGAATTATTTTAAAAGAAAAGCCTTTTTAAAATCCTACTCTATGAACCAACAAATTTCTGGCATTCATACATATTTAAACACTTAGCGCTAATATTTGTACAGAAAAAAGTTAATAATACTAAAACATATGTTACTATGATTTCACTTTTTGCCTACATCATATACTAATTTCCCCTTTTACATGCAGCTTTAATATTGTCCAAACAATGGCACAAATAAAGAAACAAATTTAACCATCTATTCCCCACTGCCCACCACCCCATCCCCACATCAAACCGTTCAGGACTCTCTTCCACAGCCAGGCCGGAGTGGCCCTTGGGCCCTCAGCTAGATGGGGACCACTGGAGAGAGGGAGCTGATTCCTCCTCCTGGGGCACACCTTCCTGTAAACATGGCCAGGGACCAACATGCCCCCAGAGCCAAGGGAAGCTGCTCTCTCTGGGTTGCAAGCCAACCAGTGTTGCAGCAAGAGAAGAAAATTATCATCAGTTGAGGGTAGGGTATGTACGTGGTTAGGGAAGGGGACAGGGAGGGCTCCTGGTGATATCTTGCCCAAAGCCTCAGCATGAAGTCCGCTCTCAGACAAGAGACCAGCAGAAAAACCTCAAAATACAACTCAAAGAGCTTGGAGAAGGAAAAGAGAAAGAGATGTATTAGCCTGTGTCAGGGACGGGTCTCAGGCTTGAATCTGTCCTGCTCTCTCCTACTCTGGTGAGCTGCAGGACACTGGGGGCTGCGTTTCAAATCCCCTCAGGTGAGATGTCCTGGGAGGCCAATGCTGGGCAGGAAAGCAGGGTGGCTGGACAGTTGTGTCCTTCAAAGGAGAAGGTCCTACTGCACAACACTTCCCAGAGCAAGCCGAGGCCTTCATGATGAAGTGTTGAAATGAATGGGACTTACTCCCTGGGTGACAGAACAGTTCTAACTTGATTTCCAGGAGCCAATGCCTGCTAAGTTCTTGTATAAAATCATGGATTCCTGCTGTTTTGATGAACTTTTGAGTGAGTGTCCAAACTCTCTCCCCACTTAGGAATCTGAACTCCAGTATCAACTCTGAACCCTATCTGCATTTAAACTTTGCTTAGGGAAAGGTGGGGAGGAGGTGAAATATAAAAATATTCAAGCAGATTATTGTCTACACATCCTAGGATGAATTCATTATTTGGCAAGATTGGTTTTCCTACATAATTATCACCTGAGTGCTTTGTAATTAGCTAAAATGTTTTACTTTTTAACTGAAAGCAAAGAATATACATTATACTTGAGTTATACTGAAGTTACAACTTCATTTAAGAAAATAGGTTTGACCCAAAACTCAGTGCAAGTGGCAAAGTTGACCATTACTGTACAGTATCTGCAAGGAAAAAACAAAAACAAACCCACAATGCTCAAATAACACCATTTGGTGGTGCCAAAACCAAAGCAAATGAAGAAAAGGTCTGAAATAAAACTTCCAAAAAAAGCTTCTAACACTGAATTTTGTCCATAAATAAGTACAAATTGAAATTGAACTGTGAAGCAAGAAAAATGACCATGTTAACAGCTACCAAACTAGTTGTAGCATCAGAGACAAAAGAAGAGGAATGTTGGAACCTGTTTATAAATGAGAAATGAAGTTTCCAGTTTTAGGATGAGAAAATTGAGACATGCAGAACTTTTGCATATGGAGATATATATATATTTTTGTATATATATTATATATAATATGTACAGTCTAGCTATAAAACTTTGATGTGTATAGAAGCTGTCTTCAATGAAAAAAATTGAACATTCAGAAGAAATTCCTGAGATAGGGTTTGTGACATGGGCCACTGAGAAAAAAAATCCGTGGTTGGGTCCTAGAGGTGTTGTAGTCTATCCCTGTGAAGACTGAAATTAACCCCTAGACAGACAGTGACATCACTGTTGTCTTTCCTTGCCTGAGCAAGGGGTAGCACCATTGTGAAGGTAACTATCACTCCTGCTTGAAGAGAGGAGGGAATACTTGGGAACAGTATTGCTGCTAAGATCGCTGTAGTGTGCACCAAATTCGTTCTTGGTTCTTCTCAACAGATGAACAGTGCCACAGGCTGACTGAAGAACACCTGGATGGGAGAGGTGTGAGGACTGGGAGGAGAGCTGCGTCACTAGGTGTAATCTTTCCTGGGCTGTTCATCAGTTGTACACTTATCAGTCATTTCCTGGCAGAAGTCCACAGTCACCGTTTGGCTTCTGGGTTCAAGAGGAGGTCCTCTCTCTGAGAATGTTTCTGGGTCAGTGCCTTCCAGCCTCCTTGCAGAAGTACAATTCTCAGAAGTGTTTCCAGGTACCCAGGGAGGCCCGGGGGGAACCGCACCTGGCTCCAAGCAGCAGGGCACATTTTCCCCCACCACACACTGGGAGGCTGCAAGGTTCTGCTCGACACCCAAAGGCGCAGGGTTAACACTGGAGGCTGCGGGCAGATCCACGGGTCTGAGGACGGGGCAATACCGATGCAGGGCCTGGATCTGCTCCGGGCTCTGGATGTCTCGGCAGACTTCCTGGGAAAGGCAGGAGAAGTTGTCCAACAGTTCCCCCATGCATGCTTTTAGCTGATTCCTCTCTGACAACAGTTTCTCTTTCTCACACACCTGGGCGACAGAGGAAAAAAGAGAAGGCCAGATCAGCCTGAATGGGAGGACGCAAGACCTCGTTTCTGGGGTTTTTCCAGCCTTTGCTTTTGCATGGTAGCATATAACGTAACTCCTGAATGATTGGGTCAGGATCTAGAAACAAGAGATACATTTCTGGGAGCCTGGACACCACTTCTGCCACGAGGACGCAAGACCTCGTTTCTGGGGTTTTTCCAGCCTTTGCTTTTGCATGGTAGCATATAACATAACTCCTGAATGATTGGGTCAGGATCTAGAAACAAGAGATACATTTCTGGGAGCCTGGACACCACTTCTGCCACATCTCCCATCTGAGCAGCCCACTCACATGTGCCACTGATGCCGACACCTTCCCCATGACATTTCTCCATCCCTCTCTGAGGCCCATGCAAGCAACCAACAAAATCACCACCAACTGGAAAACTGCAGGGAGTCAATGCTCTGGTTTCCTGGAATTTGGGGGTCTGTAGAGAATCAACTGGAAAATTCTTAGTCCCAAACCCTGCGGTTGAAAATCTCCCTCAAATGTACTAGGTTGCCATTTCTGAAGGGCAAAAATCGACCAGTTCCAACTATGTAACATTCTGAAAGAGGCAAAACTATGGAGATGGTAAAAAGAACAGTGGTTGCCAAGGGTAATGGGGGAGAGGGGTGAACAGGTGGAACACAGGACTTCAGGGCAGTGAAACTACTCTGTATGATACCATAATGGTAGATACATGTCATTAAACATTTGTCCAAATCCATAGAATGTACAACACCAGGTGTGAACCCCAATGTGAGCTATGGACTTCCGGTGACAATGATGTGTCAATGCAGGTTCACTGGTGGTAGCAAATGTACCACTCTAGTGCAGGATCTTGATGGTGGGGGGGGAGGCTGTACGTGTGTGGGGGCAGGGGGCATATAGGAACTCTATATATTCCATTCAGTTTTACCATGAACCTAAAAATGCTTCAAAAAAAGAGTCTATTTAAAAAAAAACCAAAATTGACCATCAGCAGTTTCACTTGGTTCCAACTAATGTCAGCAGGCTCCCTGGCCTTTGCAGATCCTTGGTAGGACAGTAGAAGAATGTGCAGTGAATCCCAGGCAGTGATTCTCCCTGGACATGGGAAGGGAAATAGAAGTGTGGAGCCTGAGCCCTAATGTTCTAGCTTGAGGTTCTGAGATGGTTTCCCCCTTACCCAAAATCTTACACATTCTCTTGTGTTACTAAAATTCATCACCCCATCAGAGATGAATTTAACACCAGAGGGGAGACTAATTAAAGTTTTACCATCCACATTTGTGTGAGGAGAGGAGATGGGGAGGTTCCAGAGGCACACACAGGAAGTGGATGAAGAAACCAGGCATCTGCAGCAGCGTCGAATGAGTCCTCACACACCCTTTGCAAGGGCAGGGGGTGGCCCAGGAGAGGATGTAGAGAAACAAAGGAGAGCAAGCATGGGGCAAGCATGCGCCATGCACAAGAATGGGGTCTCCTACACAGGAGCCGCGCGTGTGGCACATGAATGCAGTCTGGCAGGCAGCGTGGGCGTGTATGCCGGAAAGAGAGAGAAATTTACATGGGGAAAGGGCACCTGCTAAAATATTTATAAATTTACCAAGAAAACATGTTTTAAAAATGAAAAATAAACAGATGTACAAGTGCAACTTGAAAGAAATACATTATGTGAGTCTGCAAAAGCAGAGTGGCAGGTGTGTGGGAGACAGTATGGGAGTGGGAGTCCGTGCAGGGACTGTGCAGGGTGGGACCAGAAGCTGCCTGCCTGCCACTGCCATTCCTGCCACTTGGAGCAGGCGAGTGGGCACAGGACACCAGTGACAGGGTAGGGGTAAGAAACAACACACATCTGGGAGGGCTTCATGGGGAAAAAAAATCGTACATGTGTGGTTGTGCAACCTGGACCTCTCTCCTTCTGACCTGGAAATATGCAAAGGGAGGGGCAACACTGTCCAGGCACCAGGAGAGGAGTCCAGGCTCAATTCTGCCACATCATCTTGGCCAGGGCACCGACCTCTCCAGGCTTACTCAACTGTAAAATGTCCTAAGCCACCTTCTAGGGTGGCTAGAAATGAGGTGGTGCATGTGACAGTGTTTCTGTTCTCTGCAGGAAAGGCCATATAAATCACACCTTGGTTAAAAGCATGAAGGTCTGAGTCACAGATGCACACTGATGAGTGTGTGAAACTCTCATTCTGCACAGAAACACAGTGTAATCTAAGGGGTTGCCAAAAGTGGGTGGAGAACTAAGAGATGTGCTCTTGGTTTTTCACCTGAACAATACTAGCAAAGTGCTTTAGCTGACTACCTGGAATATGGCTTACAAAATCACATCAAACAGAATGCTAATTACCCAAATCAGGCATTACTTAAATATGGGTTAGAGTTATTCTACCTCCTGAAGAGGAGCACAGGGTGAGGATTACTACAGACGTGTGTCTACAACCGACCCTGCAGCTCAGCTACCTAAGCCCAGCAGGCTTTCAGGAGACCCAGGCTCACCAGCAGGAAGGTCTTGCTTCCTGATGTGGTTGAAGTTAAATTTCATTGTTGTTAAAACAATGATAAAGAGAAATTTGAAAGAAAGAAGAAACTCATAATCTCCTAAGCTGAATAGTTACAGTTTCTAGTAAATTTTAGGACAATAGACATTTCCTGAGAGCCAACAATGGGCCAACTCTGGAGATTCAGAAATGATCAAGACATTGTCCTTGTCCTTGAGGAACCTAGAGCCTAGGGTTCGGGAAAGACACGTACACAGATAATTAAAGACTAAGTGACTTCATTAGGGGTCCTAGGAAGGTGTGGAAGGTGACGCTGGAGGGGTGAAACAGACTGAACCATAGAGGGCAGGGTGTGTCTTGCTAAGAGCTCGAGGTTTACCTTGTAGGTAATGGGAGCTACTGAACATGGGCAGATTTCCCCTGCTTGGTGAGTGTTAATTAAAAAAAAAAAAAA